AGCGACCGGTCGTTCTTGGGCAGAGTCGTTTTCTCTGTTTTTTCCGTTTCGACCTCTGTCCAGTGTTTTGCCTATAACTTTCCAAACTTTTATCCAAATTTCACGTTCTTTATACGGTTGGAATCAGCACAGAAAATGGAAGAACACAACGCAGACCAAAAGTCCAAAACAGTTACGCAAATAAACAGAATTCAGTAAACAAGACACACAATGTGTCGAACACGCAACTCACACACACATTTGGGGGGGGGGGGGTTTTGATTTGTTTGAAGTGACCTATTTCTATTGCATGAAAGTAAATGAACTTTGAATTTAAATGAGAATAGCAGGGATGAATTATCAAATTGTGAAATTAAAATGTAACAAACACTAGGGTTTCGGAATCCACCCTAAACAATTCTACCCATGTTCATGGATACTCAAGTGATGAACTCTAAACGTGTTGTTGAAGATGTTCGCAATCAAGACCAGTACGAGTGGCTCAAGACGCATTGATTCTCTCTAATGTATTTAAAGTGCATGGTTCGTGCTACAATACTTGTGCCCTCCTCATAAGCGAACCTAGGTATGGTTCGTACTTCGATTCAATTACAAGGAGAACCCATTAAGTTCAAAGAGAATATGAACATCACAAGAATCCTAATAGCATGGTGTTTACATTAGGTATTCAAGAAACCAATTCACATGGATGATTCTTACTTCATCCATTTATTGCTTAGGATAACATGAGGATACACATAATCCCAACAATCTCAAGAAGCATGCTTTCAAAGGTGATCAATCAAAGAAGAACATACATCAAGGATAGATTAATTTGGTGAATTGGAATTCATCAACAATATCTAGAAATTCATACACTCAAGCATCAAAACAATAAGGTATTCATGTTTAGGGCTTCAACCTAAGCCCTAGCTATGGAGTTTAGTTCCTCATAATCATTTCAAACACAAATTCGAAATAAAACTAGAAAGAAGTTACAGCTTTTGTGAAGGTGGAAGCTCAAGGTCTTCAATGGTGGAAATCTCTTCCACTTCTTGCTTGGATGACTTTGTCTTCCTCCTCTAGCTCTCTAGCTCCCAGCTTTTAGAAAGTCTCTGCAAATTGTAATAAAAACTGAATGAATGATCCGTTCCTAGCTGCTGCCCCAAAGTCAATTGATTCCTCTCTATGCTCCTCTCTCTCCTCCTTTTCATCATGGCACACTTTTGCCTTTGTTTTCTTGTCTCCTCTCATGATGAAGTTTTGTCCTCACAAATATACTCTCAGAAAATTCCACTTAACTAAAGTAAAATATTGTTACGAAAGGCATGGTAACAAGTAGAAGTAAGATCACACTAAGTGGAGGTGAAAACTGGCCAACTCGGATTTCCAGAGCTGTGGTAACATGCTGGATTGGTTGGATAGGCAATACTTATCCAATGGAGCTCAAATTTGGATATGTTGTAGTCAACATCCATTGGAACAAGTCTTATGAAGATCATCACCTCATCCAAGGACCGGAACATGCTGATCCAAGGCCACGAAGTTGACCTACGAAAATGAACAAAAACAGAATTTATATCAAATAATGCACTTTTAGCTCATTTTCATACAAACCAAAGTAAAACCTATTAAAACACAAAAAAGAAGTAAAAAGCTATAAAATGTCAAGAACTAACTCAAAATAGTGGGTGAATAACATGAAAAATCATGTGTAAAAATGAACCGAACACCCACCCTCACCAGCCATCTCCACTTCGATGTCACCGCCACCTCTTCACCTTCTTGCACCCCCACCGCCACCTCAGCCCACCTACCAGATCAACCCACTCCAACAATCCCCATCTCCCATCTCTCTTAGACCACGAAACCCACCCCATCCCCACAGCCACTCTCCTCAGACAAACCCCACCACCACACAACTACCAACCACAGCCACCCAATCACCTCTAGCACATTCATCCACCAAACCCAAACCACACAACTCCAAATCACACAACTCCAACTGATATCCCACCCCATATTACACCAACCCAACTATCCCCCACCCCTCTTCCAGCTCAGGACAAGAGACTAGATGCTTTAATTTTATGCACATAAGAGGTTTTTTATATATTTGGAAGAAAATCTGAGACTTACACCGCAAAGTAAGTCAAATAAAGCACTGCTTTGGATGAATTAGAAGAGATGCATCAGCATGTATGAATTAGAAGGGCTTACAATAAGCAAGACCAAACACTAAAAGAAGAAAAAGAAAAGAAAAAGAAAAATAGAAAGTGGACTGCTAGAAAAGGAAGAATATAACATTTTTTAAATTCTTATAAGAGTATAATAAATACTATCGTTGTACATAGATTACACAAAAACGCAACTTGTTCTAGTGGTCATGGTTTAAATCCCCTTGCACCAATACTCTTAATATTTCTATTTTTTTAGCCTTTGAATAGAGGTGGGCTCCACAATTTGCCAAGTTACCCTCTCATATTGGATGGAAAATATCCATCTAGGATGAAAAGACGAAAATATCCCTGCCATGTTAGCATTTTTAGTGGAGTTGACAACATGAGGTAAAGTGAAATGCGAAACCTAGTCCAACCCAATCCATTATTCAGTTAATTAGATTTGAACTAGGATGTCTAAAGCCCGAGTCGACCCGTTTGAGCCCAAGAAAGCCTGGCCATATGCCCACAAATTTTTTGTGAAGAGACTTTGACATATCGAAGGTCAAGTAAGTTCAATTTTGTACCAAAAATGTTAACCCAAATAAGCCTGTTGGCCCACCATAACGAGACAAGTGGAGCCTGACCTCCTTACCCAAGTTTGAAATATTTGCAGTTGTTTTACTCGTATCATGGTACAATTTGGTGTATAAAATTGATGTTAGTTATTAAGGTAGTTGCTAGTCTGGGTTAGCAATAATTGAGCTACTTTGTTTGATGAATGGAAGATTGCAAGATAAAACACATAGTATTTGTTATAGAAAGAAAAAATATTGACCAAAAAAAAAAAAAGCAAAGAAAATCATATGTAGCTAAAGAGTATAGTCAGAGCTGTTGGCTTGAGCAATGGTGAGCATTTGAACGTTGAAGAGCCTTTTTTATTCAGACAATAAAAACTAAATATAGGTCATGTCAGGCATGAACTAGTTTTTTCTAGCACAGCCTATTTTGTGCTATTGCCTGGCATGGTACGTTCTGTATCTGTATTGAGAGCACGACAAGGTTGGGCCAAAGTATTTACACAGCTAGATATATACAAATATATATACACACACACATGCAGGCTAGCCTATAAGATATCTGAGCAACACTCCATAAATATAATTATTCTCTCATGTTATTATCGTGTGAATGTCATTATAAACAAGCAGGAAAGGATAATACAAAATACATAACATCCGCATGATAATAACGTCCAGATATGAGAATTTTGACCTAGAAAAACTCTAGATGCCTAAGATTTGCAACTCCATCCAAGTCATCTATATAAAACCAGATTTTGTAGGAATTAATGGAACGTCCATAAAAATGGCCCTTCATCTCTCTCTTGGTTTGTCACCTGTCACTTATATATCTTGTCCAATAATTTTTTGTAATTTCATAAGCTGTATATTCTAGTCAGGCAGATAACAGTACTATTATAATATAAAAACACTGAAAACCAGGATCCAGGATTTGAGGAGCTAGTTGTTGAGTGCTCCAAATGATAGCCCCACATACCAACCAACCAGAGCCGGTCCATTGATTTTGGAGGCCCTGTGCAAATATGGATGTCGAGGCCCTACATATACAAGTAGGAAAAAAAAATCCATATAGAAACAAAATTTTCTGACACTGGAGGAACACCTTCGGAAAGAGCTTCCCAGAAAAATTTCTTTAGTCACTCTTCCAAATCATAGAGCTGATAAATTGATTTTCCAATTTCAATGCTCAGTGAATTCTCATGTGAATGAGGGAGGGAGAAAAGATATTTAATATTTCATTTTTATTTTCATGTCTCAATTAATTGAATGCGTTGACTCGGAAAAATTTGGGGCCCCTAAATTTTGGGGGCCCTGTGCGGTCGCACATCTCGCACACCCCATGGGCCGCCTCTGCAACCAACAAGGCTAGCTAGCTACTTAGCTAGATAACTAGCCAATAATAAGCATGCATATAGGTAATATTCAGCTTGAGGTGCGTGAGTCAAGCATAATTTAGCATAACTAAGCATAATTACTATTTGCATTCTCTCTCTCTCTCTCTCTTGATGATGCATGAATGATGATGCATGAATGCTGATGAAGATTCAACAAAATGATATTTGTATAAACTGGAGTTGGTTTATGTCTACTCAGTTAAACACAACATAAGGAAAAGTTGGTTCCCATCACAAACTCTTAATTTCCATTATAGAACACACACAAAACAAAGTTCGAGGATGAAAAAAGAAGGGAAAGTACTAAGTTTGTTCAAGTTTTATGAATCTATGATTTTAAATAGCTACATATACCACAATTTACACATGAAGTTGTTCGCAAAAATCATTAATCATAAAAAATGATGAACTTAACTCAGATGGAAACTAAAGAATTTGTTGTTTATTTAATTCCATGGCCATAAATGAAAAGAATAATAATAACACATGTGAAGATATATTCTGAGAATTCAAACCAACAAGGGAAATTTTTTTATTAGTACAACAGAAAGACAGAGAGACCAAATCATGAGAGCAGACCCAAAACATGAACTCATGTACTGGTAAGGGTGAGAATCCTTATATACTTTAAATCAGAAAATTATAGTTTCTACATGATAAACAAGGGAAAAGAAAAAGAAAAAGAAAAGCGAAGCAAGCACCAATTCGATAATATTAGTTGTCGGAGAGAGGTATCTTTGTTCAAAGTTCAAAGAAACCAAAACGGATCCGTTTTGGCCAAGCTACATCTATATATAATTGAACCATATCAAAATTTAAACACCAAAATAAGCTCAAAATAGATTTATTTATATGACAAACTTAGGATACTCAAATATAGCAGGCTATAACCTAATCTTGTATCTACGAATTTGGAAGCTCACATAGATGCCAGGATTGAGAGTTTATCATCACACCCAGTTCTTGATCGATAGATCGATCCTCGTCTTCCCATCCCCCCCAAAGAAAAAAAGAAAACAAAATGAAAAAAATGGCACCTACCTTGCAAATCTCACACTTAAGGGACTGATGAACCCCTCTTATTTTTTGTTTTGTCCAAAACCCACATAATCTAGCCATTAAAATATATGTAGGTAGAGAAGGTGAGAAAAATTCAGAAGTTTTTCACTTGTCTCCAAACAAGTACCCAAGTGAGGAATCTCCACCAGGAACTGAATTAACTTTTGTTGTTGGACGATCCTGAAATAAATATATATAGATCATGTGGTATATATTACAAGTAAGCTCAGGTAATTCCCTAATAAAACACATCTTGCACGTAAATTAATATAATATATGAAAAACTTACAGTTAAGAAGTTCCCAGAATTTTGGCCTTCAGCTCTGTGATAGTTATTGGAAACTGCTGCCTTTTCTTTTTCAGCAGAGTTAGGGATACTTGGAGGCTTTTCAGTGACGGTGTCCAAGCTATCGATGCCGTAAGGGGGTGTTATCGGCTTAGATGGCGGAGGTGGGCTTTGTTGCTCATCTGAGCCAAACAAGTACCCCAATGAACTTTGTCCACCACCATAGCTCCCACCTCTACTCATGGCTGCTGCTGCTGCTTGATTTCAAGATCGATCTTAAAAGCTGTTAGGTAGAGGAGAAACAAAGAGAACCCTAATTTATATATATAAGCAATATATAAAATTATGTGAGAAATGTGTGTGCAAATACTTTTCGGATGTTGATGATGATGCACAATACCTAATTTGTCTTTATTTTCTTTACTGAATAGTAATATATAAAAATCACCTTTAATTTCGAGGTGCATATAATTTAATCTAGAAACGGGCATCCGATGGATATACTGCCTTCTTTGCATGATATATATATATATAGGGGCAGATCCGTAGTACCATATTTTTGACACAAATTTTGAATCAATAGATTAGACTACAATAAATGGCTGAGATTAAACAAACTAATTCTTTAATTAAAATTTAATTTAATTAACTTTGCTATTCAATTTTCTCTCTCCTCATTTATGTTTTCACATCTTCCTAAAAACATCAACATTCTCTCTCACGACATCTTCTTCTTCTTTCATGACTTTCCAATTTTTTCTCCCTTCAATCTTCTTTTTGCCTTTGAAATAACATCAAAGTCCACACACCATTTTCCTCCATAACAAGAAACAATGAACCCAACCCATATAGCAAAATCAATACCCAATAAGGAAGATTGACGTAAGGTGGAGGAAGGTTGATCTCTGTGTTTTTTTTTTCCTGGTGATGCTAAATTAAAACTTCTATTTCCCCTTGCTGAGAAAAACGAAAAAGGATCAAGCATAGGGAATATGACTAAATTTCTAGATTTTAATATACATGGAGAATTTCCAGTTAACCAAAATAAAAAGAAAGGGGCCATGGTTGCTGCTTCTCTTAGTCAATTAGTTGCTAACTTATTACATATTGAAATAAAATTGAGATTACTGATAAAGGGGGAAAAGAAATTGATTGAGATTCATTGTGATCATCCCCAATGAAATTTCAAGAAACTAAGAGCATGATTACCCTGCCCTCCCATGGAAGTCCCCCAAATTCATTCTGATTCTGAGTGGAGAAAAAGTTTATGTGTTTTTTTATCCTCACGATCCCATGTCCCTTGGGTATTTTCTCAAACTTCATATGCATTTCTTTGTTTCGATCTGGGTATGAATCGTGTCAAAATATATAGTGTCAATTGCATATAACTAGCAGTAGGCAAATGGAGATTTTTGGCACATCGAAGCTATGGAGGAGATTACCAACACTAGGCATGGAGGAAGGGAGATGTAGAATTTGGGATACTGTGCAATTCATAATTATTATATTAAAATAATAATAATTCGAATAATGTATTATTTTAGAGATAATAATAAATTAGTTGTGAGATTTAATCTGAGCCATTAATAGTGCTTAAATCTAATGGTTCAAAATTTGTGTTCAAAATTTGAGCCATTATATATATATATATGAAAGTTTCTCTCTTAAATATAACATTTCTATAAATTTGTGTAGTAGGTAGGCAGTACTATGCATGCACGGTGCACGGTATGCATTTTATTTTATTTTTTATTTTTTACATTAATGAGAGTGGGAGATTCGAACTTGAGAAAACACTTTGTAGTCACGATATGTATTTTGTTAATGTGTCAATGTCCTATAATTAGCCAATGGGTTCCCACCACCACCTCCCCATGGTACCCCACTTTGAACTCGTTCGAACTCCAATGTAACCAAAAAAAAAAAAAAAAACTTACTGTAATTAGTAAAATTAATATTTTGTTTAGGAAAAAAAAAAGCATTGACTTTAAAACAGTTGATTTGCAAGGTAGACATGTTCAAACCATATATTATCGAATCCTCTCAATTGGACATGTGGAATGAGTAGCCTGTAACGTAAAGGCCCACATGGCCCAGCCCAATCCCTGGAACTCACAGAGTCACAGCAACCATCAGCAGGGATTAGCTTTAGGCAACCTCACCCGTCGATCTGGCTCAACGAAGGCACATGTTGTGTCACTTTCATGTTACGACACGTGGCAACCCCTCAGGCCATGTCCACAATCCCACATCGAAACTACAACCCAAGGTGTTCCACCTCTTTTGTCTATAAATATGGCTCTTGCCCCAATGCATGTAACTTGGCACTAGAATCTTTACTTTGTCCAATTACTCTCACTCCATCTTAAGCTAACTTAAGCATTGGAAAGCCTTCAACCGTTACCGCATCGATGCCTAAAGCTTTACTGTTGTTCTACTCCTTCTTGCTTTCCATTATATACCTGTCATAGAGTCCACACTACCGAGCACATATCGCTTCTAAGTTGGTTTCATTTTTGGACATCAACAAGATACAATTATAATAAGTTGGTTGAATGTCAAACTAAAGTGAGCTTGATCCTTCTAAAGCGATAATAACCATAATATAGAACTAGTGGTATATGATTACAGAACTAGATAGAAAGTTATAATGACTTAGTTTCTGCTAACCCTTGTTTAAGTTATAAGATTCTTAGCCCACAAACTATCAATTTTTATCCTCTTATTGATTAAACATGAAATCAATTATAAAATACTTGTAGCTCTTTCAGCATCCAGTCATGGACTTAAAGATTAGGCTAACTGCATCTAATCGCACCCTATTTTGAAATAGTACTTATAAAAAAGTGATATAATAAGTTACCTACTGTCAAAGCAGGAGAAAATATATATTACACACTGTACGGATGCTATGACTTAAATTTATGACCTTGCATGAGGGAGTAAATACTCCAAACCACTACACTAGTGGGTCCTTTGCATATATCATGTGTTTTAAATTCACTGTAATCCATAATATGTTAATTGTCATTAACTAGACAGGCTCATGGGATTCTTGGGCGTAATTGCCTAAACTACATCATTTTAAGACCTAAAATAATGCTTAATTGGCGTCGCTTGATTGACTCCAAAGCAGTAGTTTGCTTAATTGATCAAAACAAAGACTAACATCTAAAGTAGTAATCATATAATTTTGCTTATGTAGTTTCGATCCTAGGAACTTGGCAGAGGTTGAAGTGGCATGAATTAATGTGTTGAGGTCTTGTCAGCCATCGAGTGCATGTGGCTGTTTGTTTGAACCCTTTTGCAGGGAGTTGATGGAGCAAAATATGATACCCACTATGGCCCTCAAAGTGACATAATAATTGTCAACCAGTCATTCAAAGGCAGTCGAGCATGAATAATGTACGTAATTCTTGTTAAAGCTGCATTAATTCGATCAGTCATGTCATCTGCTCTAGGTAGTTTTGGACATCAATTGTTCGGAGTAAAATGCGAAACTCAAAATAAAAACTACGAGATTACAAAAGTGCAGAGAGTGTATATATTAATGAAAACTCGTGACCTCTAGAAATAAGTATCGAGGCATGCAGAGTTTTGCATGAGAGAACAATAATTCCAGTACTTGACTACAGAGTCAATGACGAAGTGTTGGAAAAAAGAGAATGACCATTGAACATCAAAGCATCACAGAGACCACTTATATTACAAATATCTTATTCTTACGCCTCAAATATTAATGTCTTTTTTCTTTTTTTCTGCTTAGAGAATCTATTAACAAGACTAAATGACTCGAAAATTTTCTGCCGCTAGTAATGATAACCTTGGTTATTTGGTCCTGGATATTTGTCATGTTTCCCATTGAAATATTTGCAAAGCAAGGAGTAGGTGCATATGTCCATTCATAGCAACATTATTATCCGTACATGTTGGCCTCACCACACAGCACATAACCATTAACTTGCTTTGCTTTTAAGATCCGATTGGACGTTAATTAAGGAACTGTTTTTGTCTTTAGACCTTTTTCGATACAACTGAGATTGGGGGGAGGAAATCAAACTTAGTACTTCATACAAGAATAAATCCCTTAACCACTTGAGCAATTGAGCAAGATATATACCACACAATATATTCACATATAAACCTACCTATGATATTCTGAAATTCAGGCACCTAAACTTGTATACTTCTAAGTTTCCTCACTGCAATAATGGGGTTGTATATGAACAACACAGCTGCTTGTCCAATCAATTACAAATTGTGGAACCCTTTTGAGTCAAGAGTCATATGAACAAATTGAGATAAGGTAATGAAATATTGATGGAAATTTGAGATGACCTAGGAAAGGATAGAGCTGCCAAAAGGGAGTAGGTTTGGTTGTGACAGAGTGAGAAATAAAGGACCTCTACATGTACCCAACGATGGTTCAGTTGGTAGGGTCCTTACACTATGTGTAACCCCACCAGTGTTTGAGTTCCAGCAGTTCTTGCTGGTGCGCGATCTGTAATTTCCTACATAAATCCATATCGGTGGCAATTGGCAGTTAGGTGCCACGCGTAAGTCCTTCCATCTCGAGATTGTGGGTCTACCATGCCACTGGTGGTGAGAGTAGTCAATCTCTCCCTATACTTTTTATACTTTTTGTATATATAAATTTTATAAAATTATAAAAAATAAATAAATAAATAAAAAACAGCTCTACATTTTTACTCAACATAATTAACAGGTAAAAGTATGAAGTGGGTCCCAAATGTACAAAAGACGGAATCCCCTGTTGATAACCACATGATGGGGACTGAGGAAGATCACCATCCATACAGGCAAAAATATATGAGACAAATCTGTTGGATTCATGTAAAAAATGAATAACTCAATTACATATAGAATGACCTAATCATGATATATGTGTTGTTTTTTTAAATGTTGAAGTAAAGAAACAGAGAATATTTTGACATACCCAAAATGCAGTTGCATAAGAATAGTGCACAAATGTTGACAGATTGTTTGGCTTGTTAACAACCTGGGCTAGACATTTAAGCAAACATCTTCTCAACAAATGTTCATATATAAATGTATGATATTTTGTGTACTATTAGACATGTAGCACAACACAATACAACATGATATACACACACATGTATATATATACATATCACAAATACAGAATGAACAACCTTGTAATCCTTGATGAGAAATATTGTGAAATGGGTTCATGCCAAAAATAGAGAGAGAGTATGTGATGGGTTTAAATAGAAGAGGCAAAGAGCTCCATGGAACTAAG